AGCATTTAATCAAACAATTGAAATTGAAAATCCAATTCAAAGAAAGAAAAAAAAATGATCTCAATGGTCCATGCCTTAAAAGGAATTTAACTCAAGACTTATCTATTGCCAAAAGCAAAGAAACCATTTTCCCTGATCATCGCACCATCCAAAGACATGGCTTAATGAGTTATGCATAGGAGAGCAAGTAGCATTTCAGATCTACTTCTATATCCTTAAAGGTGAGAAAATAGAGTATAGAGTAATGTCTCTCTTAAGTCCATATCCATCGGTAGTAAAAAGAAGCATATTAGCGTTATCCAGATTGACCATGTTAACAATAAAACCCAGAAAACCGGTAATAAAAATACAAAATAAGATTCTTGCCTCAAATGTTCAAGTACCGGGTTTTAGATCGTGAATGAGTTAGAGATGTCATAATCTAAGTGTTTAATTTGAAGAAAATGAGGTTAAATCTGTAATTTAACCATATTTGCCACGTTGGACAACTTACATAGTTTAAATGTCAGGCTATGTAAGTGGACACGTAGGCATATGTGGGTCCAATTTCATCCCATTAGACAATCCGACTATCTACCTCATTAGGAGATACCAAATTGAAATAAAAATGCAAGTCTAGGCATTCAATTGTCGCTATTTTTCGTTCACACACTAAAATAGAAAAAAAACAAGTACATCCATAAAAAATAGCATTATCCCCTTTAATTAATATTTTATGCATACATGAAAAAAATTATTTTTGCACCTAATTGCACATATTAATAATAACTCACATCATACTTAGAGTCAAAAGGTCACTATGTTTCTAATCATCGTCGTTATATAACATTGAGATAATATCAATATTGCAAAAATGGAAAAAGTAATAATAATTAAATAACAATTATGCTAATCAAGTTCCATAGAAAAGTACAAATAAAATAATTCTAATTTTCATTTTTCATATTTTCAAAGAAATATGATTATTTCATTCACTAAGAATGAATTATTAATCTGCTACTAATTAACCAACATCTTGATATCCTAAGATGTCAAGTACCAACAAAGTTTTAGAAAACTAATCCTATTACAAATCTTGGTGCCTAATAGGAATTGACTCCTCTGAAATCTTAGGAAGATCGTCTAACAGTTTCTTTAGGTGTTGGCTTCATGGCCTCAACTTAGTAATAGTCTTGCTACGAAGCTACACACCAGGACAAGTGATCATTCTAATTACCCCTTCTTGCAGATACTATTTCATATAGGGAAATTTTCCATTTCTACCATGACAAATTCTCGACAACTCTATAGATAAAATAGAATGATCATGTATTGAGCCAAGAATCGTTTAAGTCATGTGGATTAATTTTCAAGTTTAATTTTATCTTGTACGATTTCCTTACTGTTTCATACAATTTTTTTTTTGGTCATCAATCCTCGCCATCATTGGGGTCTTATACATACGCACCATAATTTTCTATAATACCTTACAGAAAATTATCAAATAAATCAAATATATTATACACACATAATTATTGATTTAACGATATATAATATTTTCAATATAAGCAACAGACATAGCTAATATAATTGTATACTACTTTCAAAATTTTTTAAATGACTAAAATATTTTTTTCAATTTATTTTGGAAAAATTTAGAATTCTTTAACTAATTAAAAGTTCACCATATAATAGAAAATAGGCTTTTAGTTATAAAATAAATTTTGAAATTTTTATATGACTAAAAACTATTTTTCTTTAATTTTCTATAATTTTTGAGCATTTTTAACTAATTTAAAATAACCTAAAAATTAAGAAAAATATTTTCCAGACCAAAAAAATAAATTTAAAAATTGAGAAATTATTTTAAATAGACAGTTTACGAAAAAAGGATATAAGGAAGTGTACTAATAAAAATTCATAAGCTACAACTAATCAAGAGCTACCACATAACAGTTTTGCCTAGCCAAACAAATTTAGTTTCGGTGTTAAAAAGTGTAATTCACACTCCAACTAGAGACTAATTTCAGTGACCGGAATTTTTTTCATTGGGGATTTTATGGGTCCCTAATACTGTGTAAATAGTTAGTTTTCACGGAACACTAATTCAATCTAGAGTTTGACGTACAAACCCTAATGAAAAGAGAGTAAACAAAAATAATCTCCACTTTTTCGATGTATATGTACATATGACGTTGACTTATTAAAAAATAAACCCTTTAACCTTAGAAACGCCACTGTGATGTTATTGAGTGTCACTAACAATACAAATTAAAACACCAGTGTTCCTTTTTTTATTATTATAGTTTATATTTACTTTAATTAATTTAAATTCTTTTAAATCAATTAAAAATAACATAAAACAAAAAGAAATTTCAAAAATTTTAGAACAGAGCTAAAATATTTGGGACAATATATATAGTAATTTTTTCATAAAAATTGAAAGTATATAAAAAACTTGTAAACCCTACAATTAATATCAACATATTTATACCTAAATATGTCTAATATCAATCCAACTCATTGAATTGATGCACAAGCTAGAACACAAGGTATTCATACTCCGATATTAATGTTAAAAAAAATAATCATGTGCTCACACATGAAAATAATAGTGGGTAAGTCGAATATCTATATTTTGTATCGCAAGTTGTATCACACATAAAAGTTTGCCTCAAATCCTTCTCAATGATAAGCATAACATAGTTAGCAATCCATTAGAAATGAATCGCAGTTTATATTTTTGGGAGTTTGAGATGAGTTGAGAGAGAGAGAGAAGAAAGTGAAAATAAAGATCATAGAGTGCAAACTTGCTTACATGTCCTTTTCAAAATACAAAGATATAGCAGTTAATTTACCAAAACACAAGGCTAAAATAATAATATTCCCTTTTTAGTTTTCACATCACTGCACACCCCTTAATGGACCCATGTAAACACAAGGCTAAAATAATAATATTCCCTTTTTAGTTTTCACATCACTGCACACCCCTTAATGGACCCATGTACAGCCCAGGCCTTCCAACATGTTTATTGGGCTCCATTTTTATTGGAGAATTTTTTTAGTCTCGATCCAGTAAGAAAAGTTGTTACTTTATGCTAAACATTTTGCACAATAACACTAGAATACTAATAACATAAATACTATTTAATATTTTTAATTCAAATACTAACACTATATAATATAATAGTTTTTTAGATAATATAATAGTTTTTTAGACAATAATAATAATAATAATAATTTAATAATTATTAATCTAAATAATAATACTATCATAAATTCAACTCTATGAATAATTTAAGAATATTGAGTTTTAAACTTCTCATTTATAAATAATTATTAAAAATAAATAAAAAATCGATTGAATCGAGTTGATCCAGTTTAACTGCGACCCAGTCACCAATCTAATTTTATGTCTATTCAATTTTAAAAATATTATTTATCGATTATATCTCATATACCATACATAATCTTATTGAGTTGTACTTGGATTTGGAGTTTGTCAAAATATGTTAATATCGTTTTACCTTTAAATGTTGTTAAGTTATTACATATTTAACACTTAAATTATAACAAAATAATAAATTACAAAAGATTAGTTTGTGGCCGAAAAATCCATTAGGCAGTGTGTATTCATTTTCAACATCATTATATATAATAGAGGAGAATCATAGGTTATTGTTGAATGTTAACATGACATTTCATTTGAAGAGAGAGAGAGTATCTAATATTTTAGTATTTGTATTTAACTATTTGGAGAAAGAAGTTGTATATTTTTGAAGAAAAAATATGTTTTTCATTAAAAATTCTCTCTCTAATTTATGAGAGAATTTTAAATACAATGACTTCTAATATCTTTTGTTATTAATTCTTTATGAGTTTGTTAAGCAATGTCTCTTTTCAAGTATTTCAAGATGTATGTTTTAAATTTAATAGGATGATCTTTCAATAACATATATAGATTAGCTGAGAATGTACTAAACATTGTTAGCCAGTTCATTTGAGTCTCCAAATTAGAAATCTAGGTATTTCAAATATAGCAAATGAATTTTTTGACTTTTTTTTTTTTTTTTTTTTTTTTTTTTTTTTTTGCTATTTGATTGTTGTCTACTTTTCACATATTGATCAATCCTGTAAACATAAGCGGTCACTATATATTTTGTACTTATTACATTAGTTTTTTTATTTAAAATAATCATATTGGTCTTTAAATAGAAAATGTGACTTCGTAAAATTAAAACCAGTTCCACTTCTAAATGATTTCTTCATAAATAAACCTAAAATAATATTTTGTAAAACAAAAAAATCAAAATAAATAAATATAAATATGGACAAAAAGTGTATTACAAAAAAAATATATCAAATATGAATTGCAATAATTTTTTTTTCTAAATTTATTTACTCATATTTCTTACTTATTATTCATTATTTTTTCAAATTTATTTATGTATGTATTTCTAAGCTTCAAGTTATTACTCTAAGGGGATATAAATTCTCACTAATTTTCTATTAGTATTTCATGTTTATATAGTAATATATTTTTTTCTATTTCAATAGGCCACATATAAATATTAAATTAGCATTCTTTTTCCTTTCCATGAATAACTTATTCATCAGTTAGAATAAAATTTTCAATTTACAAAATATATTTGAATCATACTGTCTATGCATTGTATGCACTTTAAATTTTAACAATTTATTTAATATACATATTTTATAATTCAAAATTAAATATGCCGTGCAAAACGTGGAAAACCGCCTAGTACCCCTTAAAAACTCAATTCTCAGAAATTATCATGCCTAGCAATTCCATTCTTCTAAATGTATCAATCTTCTCTTGATCTTAAATGTTTTATTATAGTCTTGTTCAGCAGCAACGTTTAAAATAGTGTTTAGTGTTTTGATAGGATTGAAACTCTATCTTAATTAATTATAGCGTTCGGTAATACAATATCTATGAGCCAATGATGTATGAAGTGTTCCTTGCTTTGATATTTTTTTGTCATTTTATATTAAACAGCTAATCAAATAGTTATTTGTACTGAACACTTTTATTCTAAACCGTTATATAATCGTTAACCCAACCAACCAATAGTAAAATAGCTGACAGCTACTAGAACAGTTAAATTTGCCGAACAGACTATATGTTAAGCTAAATTTAGGCAATTTAATGCTAAACATGCATAAATGAACCAAAATAGTTTCTGAACAAGGTTGATGGAGAACAAAGTAAGACCCAAAAAAGTCTTATAGCACCATTATCTACCTCCAGATAAAAAAGGTCCGGTGATGCTAATTTCTTGATTACTTGATGAAGAAGCTGTATCAGAAATGCTTTTTCTTTCAACGAAGGCTGGCTTCTTAGGAGTTGGAAAGCCTGTAGTTTCACTGCTTAGCATAATAACAACGTTTGACATGTTGGGACGATCAGCTGGATTATCTTGTACACATAATAGTGCAACATGTAGACACTTGATAAATTCATTGCTATTAACACTTTCACTTAATGTGTCATCCAAGAAATCCAATGCCTGGTCTTGTCTCCACAATTTCCATACCTATTATTTACGCATTTATCAGTCAAAAAATAGAAAAAGGATTAGTTTTGGGCTAAAATAATATATAGAAAAGATTAGGTTTTGGCTAAAAAAAAAACATCAAACTACTAGCACAACTTACATTACTCAAAAGGCTCGAGTCTTGTCCAGGCTTAAAAACTCCAATGCTTCTTCTTCCGCTTAGGATCTCTAGCACCACGATTCCAAAACTAAAAGCATCTGACTTAACCGAGAATAGTCCATCTAATGCATACTCCGGGGACATATAGCCACTGCATTTTTCAGCAATTACCATTACTAATATACTGGATAATCCCAGGAATTAGTCGGGTGATCAAATATTATACTGCTTACATGAGTTAAACTTACTAAGTTCCAACGACTCTGTTTGTGCTTCCTTCTACTTGTTTTCCTTCAAATATCCTTGCTAATCCAAAGTCAGAAATTTTTGGGTTCATTTCTGAGTCCAGTAAAATGTTGCTTGTTTTTAAATCTCTATGAATAATTCTCAATCTTGAATCTTGGTGCAGGTATAGAAGCCCTCTGGCGACTCCAAGAATGATGTTAAAGCGTGTCTCCCAGTTTAGAAGCATGCCAAGCTTTCGATCTTGAAAATTTTTTTCCATTCACACAAAGGTCAGTAATTCTGAAATACCAAATAGCTACGTACTTCTTTTTGCTTTTTGCGATGAGAATGAGAAAATTCTTTTTGAGGCTTACCAAATACAAAGAAATCTAAGCTTTTATTAGGCATATATTCATAGAGCAAAATCTTTTCATGTCCTTTAATACAATATCCCAAAAGCCTGACAAGATTTCGATGTTGAAGTCTTGCAATCAGAACAACCTCATTTTTAAATTCCTCTAACCCTTGTCCAGAAACACTTAAGAGTCTCTTTACAGCGATTTCTTGACCTCCTGGAAATATGCCCTGGACCAAACTTGTCTAACAGTCAATTAAGCCATTAGCAAAACAAAAACTTAAATGCATAATCTGAAAATTACCTTGTAGACAGGCCCAAAGCCTCCTCTTCCAAGCTTTTTTGCATCTGAGAAATTATCCGTAGCAGCTATTATGCTGTCTAAATCAAAGAAAGGCACATCTATTCTGTCTAAATCAAAGAAAGGCACATCTATTCCCTTCTGGTCCTCTTCTTTAAGATCTTCACAGTCTATCAAGTCTTTGACGCGTTTCTCAGTGCCATAGAAAACAGCTGCATTTCTTTTAATGTTTTCCGCTCTTTCTGAATTCAGGAAACTAACTAATATAACTAAGGTACAGTTCTGAAGCTAATAATATTATCAATAGAATTATTGCTAAAAAATTTCGAACATAGAAAAGTTTTCAGTTACCTTTTCTTTTGACCATCCTTCTCCTAATGCAAATGAGAGCAATCACAATTGAAAAAGCTATGGTACACGCGATAGTTACTCCAAGGATCAAAAGCAATGGTGCCTTTTTTCTGGAAGATCCTCCTCTAAATTGCTTATGAAAACTTCCGGCTTCTACAGGAAGAAAAAGGAATAGACTTAAATGGATTTATTAGCAAGAAATAATCATAACAATCCATTAAACATTCTACTGGGAAACGTTTTTCTTTTCCAATAACATACAAGACAATTAGAATGAGCTTCAATTCATCACTACTATACAAAATCATCATAATTGATTCCAACAAAACCAAAAGAAAAAAAAAAGGAGGAGGAGGAGGTACTTAAGTCAGAACTCGCTACACGCACAAAGAGGTCATGACCTCCAAGATTGTCCTGAAGATGTTTAAGATCCTCTTTCCAAATCCAGCAAGTGGAGTTATCAGGTACCTTGTCCCTCAGTTTACTGTTTTCCTTTTTAGTCAAGGAATATGCGACGCATAGACAACTGCCAAGACACTCCTTTCGACAATCAGTGTCATTATAACCCTCAATTTTTAAATCTGTATTCCCCACTTGCATCTTCTTCAAGTTCAAGAAGGTGTCATTTTTGCCACATATTGAATTTCTGACGCATCCACCAGAAAATACTCTGTTGTCCCAATCTTCTTGAAATTTGGGCCTATAACCTGGCAAACATTTGCAGGCCAAGGCATTGTTGGTATTGCAACTACCGAAGCTTCCGCAAGCATCGTAAAAACTACATCTGTCTGTCGGTTTCTTCCACATTAAATTCCATTTATTCTTGCCAGTATCCAAGCTCCAATATTGTATCTCCCCAGTTAAATTCATCACAATCCTTGTATTATTATAATTCATCAGATTCCTTGTATTATTATATGTTGTATTGCTATAATTCGAGGGTTGTCTAGAAATTCTGTTGAATAACAAGTTGTCCACTGCAGGAGGTAGTTCATCAGACTGAAAAAATTCACCTGAAGTCTCACTTCTCCAATGACGGATATCGAGATTTCGATAGATGATGAGTTGTTTCACTGCTTGATCTAGCTTCAATGTAAAGTCTCCCCGTTTCGGATTATATTGACTCGTCCACGAGGTCAATGTAATGCTGTAGTCCATCTTCATGCCTGAAATAAATGTATCAGTTGGTTGTTCAAAGCTTTGCCATAGATTCACTCCAGACTGGTTCCTCAAAACAAAGTTTCCAGAATCCATGAGCTTCGCCTCTTTTGGCAATGAAAGACTCTCAAGATTTGTAGACCAATAAGGTTTTCCAGACTTGTCCAATACGGCGAGATTGCCATTATGTAGAGCAAAAAAACCACCAGTTTCTGTAAGTGGGGAATCTCTATTGGCAAGCAAAAAAACCACCAGTTTCTGTAAGTGGGGAATCTCTATTGGCAACCCACACAACGGTTGTTGGATTCATTTTGTAATACCAGATTCCCACATATCTTCGATTATTAGAACTTCCAGCAGGAGTAAAGAACCCCAGTTCAAATCTTTCTCCGGTCGAAACAAGAGTTTCCCCATCTATAATCCAACTGTTTACTGAGATGGTATCCCTACCAAAGGAATGAAGAACAGAAGAACACAATATCAGTGCACAAAATATGATTGTTAAAGCTAGCATCTTATCCAAACACTAGATGAAAGAAAGGATTCAAGCCATGCATCCAGCATACAGGAAGAAAATATGTGACTAGTAATCATTAGTTGATCACATAGAGTTTTGTCAAGTTTCAAGTCAACTTTGATCATTTACAAGTCGTCGTGGAATTGTATACAAAGCGAGTGCTAGTTGACAGTAATCTCATGTCCCACGGGTAGAACTTTCAATCTGAGTGTGGAATAAGTCGGTTCACTGATCCTTCACAGCTTTACTTAAGTTAATTAAATAATAAATATTTTATTATACAGAATGCAAAGATAAATATTTCTATATTATTTTTGTAATATCCTAATTTTTTAAAATTCAAATTCGATTCAAATTTATTTTTTAGTATTAACATTATTATTGCCGAATTTTTTATTTTCAAAACGCGTTGAATTAATAAATTAAAAATCTGGACTACTTTATGCGGTATGAGCTGCAATACCGATCATTGTTTAAAGGCTATTGTTAAAGCTAGCATCTTATCCAAACACTAGATGAAAGAAAGGATTCAAGCCATGCATCCAGCATACAGGAAGAAAATATGTGACTAGTAATCATTAGTTGATCACATAGAGTTTTGTCAAGTTTCAAGTCAACTTTGATCATTTACAAGTTCACTGATCCTTCACAGCTTTACTTAAGTTAATTAAATAATAAATATTTTATTATACAGAATGCAAAGATAAATATTTCTATATTATTTTTGTAATATCCTAATTTTTTAAAATTCAAATTCGATTCAAATTTATTTTTTAGTATTAACATTATTATTGTTGAAATATTCCGAATTTTTATTTTCAAAACTTTTGAATTTTTAATAAATCAAAAATCTGACTTTGTGGCGGTATGGGCTGTAAGTACCGAGGAATTTCAATTTAGGATTAAATTGCGAGTTGGGCTCAAACTCAAAACAAGTTATCGAAACTTCTGGTCGAAAATAATTTAAAACTTCTTGAGAATTAATATTAGACCACTTAAAAATAGTAATAAAAATTTTATTTACCACATAAGTAGGTGATCCTGAATTTAATATACAATGCATTATTTTTGGGTACATTGAGAAAGATATAAATCTGACTAAATCGATTAAATAAATCAAACCGCTTGAAAATCATTAGGAAATAAATTAAACTAATAAGAATTAAATGGGGTTATACAATAAATATTCAATTATAGATAACAGGAACCATAAATCAGTTTTAATTATTTGAAAACCAAGTGAAAAATCAGTAAACCAAATAAAAATCGGATCGAACCGTTAATTTGAACCAAACCGGCTGAATCGAACCGGAATGGTCTAGAATCTCCAAGATTTTTCTGTCTTCCTTTTTCCTTTCTCTTCTTCCTCTCCTTCCTTGCGCCAGCGCCAGCGCGCGACAGGCTCCTCTTCCCCTTGCACTGCGTCTTCGGCCACTACACGACGAGCACGTGGTGGCGAACGACTCATCGTTTACCGCTGATTGCGTTTCCAGCCTCCTCTCACGCGAACGGAGCTCCAGCGGCGCGATCGGACCTGCTTCTGCAACCGCAGTTTGCTCTTCCATTCTCAGGCGAAATCTCGCCGTTTAGTCGATCTCAGGCGACGGGAAGGGTGCCAATCGACTCCTAATCACCTCTAGAGCATTTTCCTTCCATAAATTTGCGACTTCATCGAGGTTTGAGAAGCAATCGTGCGCAGAGGAGGTGCAGCGGCTGTCGGGCCCGATCCGGCCAATTAGAGGACTGATCTGACTAAATTAACACTAGAAACGGAATCCTTGGTGAATTTTGAGTCGAATGGAGTGATCATTGCAAATATCTGGGCAAGGCCGATTTTCCAGTCACCGTGCATGGCGGCCACGACGACAGTCCAGCGAGACTTCAAGAAGCAGAATGATCTCCTCTTGGCACGGATCACGAAAATAAAATTCAATTTTCGATCGGCACATTGTAAGGTCTAGTTACTCATTTTCGGTATAAAGTTCAAAACTCGAACTAATTAATTATTGAATATAAAATTAAATAAATTAGTAAAAAATTGGAGTTTTATGAATTTAAATACAGATAATTGAGATATATGAACATCGTATATAAAATCGGACTTCTAGGTAGTTAATGGACAATAAAGACTTTCACAGAAAATAAAAATGCTTAATTTTCAAGTTATCAATCGTATTATTATTAAAATTATTATTATTATTGTTCACATGAGTATTCTTGTCAGTACTATTATAAAATAGTACTTAACGAATAACTAAACCTTTTATGTAAAGGTGATAAATTAGGATAAATATATAAATAAAAAAAATCCAATATATTATATATACTTAATAAATATATATATATATATATAATATATATATATATAAGGCAATATCCTGAAAGGTCAATATACATATTCAAAAAAGAAAGCAAACAGCATTTTTTACCACATATGGCTAAAGCTTGAGTAAGGGTATAACCAGGCATGGCCCCGACTTTGTGATATCATAAAATGGATCCTTATTATGTAGATTCGAATAGTGTGTTAAAATCTTGATGATTCTGATTCTTCAGAAATTAAAAGCGTCATAAATAGAAATGAATAATTTTACAAAGATTTTAGTAAACCATTGATGAATGGGAAATCCTAAAGTTTATAAAGAAACAAATTTTATAAAGTTTCTAAATTAAATTTTATTTTAAACTGATTATGTAATTAAGACTGAAGAAAGAGATTTTCAATTAAGTTAAACCCTTTTAAAGGATAACTCTTTTGTCTTCTAAAACGTTTACAAACATCATAAAATAAAAAAGTATAAATATATTCAGTTATAGATTAATTCAAGTAGGAATAAAACCTTTTAACTAGAGAAGGATTAAAACACTAGTATTCTTTGCTAGTATTAAGGGATGCTAGATTTTTAAATTCTCAAGATTCTTTGTTTGGATTTGCTGAACTAGTCTCTTTAGTAAGGAGGCCTATTTCTTTTGGAAGTAACCCAGATATGGACAAGCTCATTAAATGATTTAAGATTATTTTAGAAAAGTAAATTTTAGAAATAAAACCATAATTATTAAAATTGAAGCAAGGATCAATTCCTATAGCTTAATTTAAAAAATTCATTATAAAAGCCATGGAAATTCAGCTTTTAGGTACTTTTTAAATATATAAATTACAACCTAAAATTGGGGAAACTAGATTTCTTCAAACAGACTTAACTAAAACAAATACAGTAATTCCTAAAACCATTCAGTGGAAAGATATAACACTCCCAGACGAATGGATTTTGGAAGGAGTTGTGCCTCCTCCGGTTACAGAGAAAGTAAAACCAAACATAAATTTACAAAAAATTGAACAATTTGAAGACGGTAAAGTTACATTAAAATTTAATAGAAGTCAAAGTATGAGGTATGCAGGATCATCTTCCTCTGTTACTACAGATGAAAATGACAAACCTACTTCATCTATACCTTCTGTTATTTATGCGAAGTATAAAGAAACTGAGCCTAAACCTATTATCCAGACATTAGTAAAACCAAGGTATTCTACCTCAGATATTCCAAATTTAAATCAATCTCTTAAAATAAAAGGTGTTGATTATAGTAATTCTATTCCACAAGCAGTTTATAATCCTATTGATAATTACTTAAACCAACAGTCCAATTTAGTAAATTCATCTCCAGAATCACCAACCGCTTCAGCTATCACTGAAAATGTTAGTGATATAAATAGAGAATTAAATGTCCTTAGTAAAGATGATATTGAAAAAAGTTTAATAAAAGAGATATCTAAAAATCTAAAACAAAAAAATTTAAGTCAAAATGGAAAAAGATATTAAAAAACTCGTATACTTTTGAAGAATAAAATATGAATTAATTATAAATTATGTAACAAAAACTGAAATTAAATTCTTATTGATTGGTATAAATTAAATAAAGAAAATAAATCTAATATAAAGTCTAAACCAAAACTATATCGAGATAAAAGACCAGAATGGATAGTAAATGATCAAACAATAAAAAGTAATTTCCTCCTAAAACCATTAGTAAATTAAAATATCAAGATAATGAGATCATATGTGCTCCATATAAAATTGCTCAAGAAAATGATGCAAATAAAAAAGTAATTGAACAAAATAACTTTAGTAATGCTAGTTTAATTTGCTTAAATACACAGTTAAAAAGAATTGAGAATTTATTAGAAGATAAACCGATTGTAAATAAAAATGTAAAAGGTAAAGATAAGATTAAAACTCATATTTTTAAACCTTTTCAAATTTCACAGTCTAGTAAAAATGAAATTGTAAATAAATTAAAAGACCAATTAAGCAAACTTGAGGTTAGATCTGAAACGACTCAACAAGTAGCTCCAGACACTCCTCAAGCAGCAAATATAAATCTTTTGGACGAGAACACTAATTCTGAGGCTAGTGAACCTGACTCAGAAGACATTAAAAAATTTGAAATAAATCCTATGACACCCATAGAGAAATAGTAAATAGGGCACCAGACCTAAGAATAATTGATAAACCTAATACTATATCTCAATTTAAATATAATTTAAATATAATGCAACCACTATATATGAATGGAATATAGATGGTTTAAGTGAATATAATATTCTTAGTATATTACAACAAATGACAATGGCAGCAAATGCTTATAAAACACAGTCAATTATCTCTGATAAAGCTATCGCAGAAATTCTAATTGTTGGCTTTACAGGTCAATTAAAAGGTTGGTGGGATTATCACCTCACTAACCAACAACATTTAGAAATCTTAAATTCAATTCAAATAAATGATGAAGGTGAACCTTTATATGATGAAAATGGTGAAGTAATTCAAGATGCAGTTTCATCTTTAATTCTCACTATTTCACTTCATTTTATTGGTGATCCATCTCATTTAAAAGATAAAAATGCAAAGACAAAAATGCAGAGTTATTAAGTAATCTTAAATGTAAAAAATTAAGTGATTTTCAAAATTATAAAACAACCTTCCTCACTCGTTTAATGTTAAGGGAAGATTCCAACCAAGGGTTTTGGAAAGAAAAGTTCTTGGCAGGATTACCTTATTTTTTGGGTGAAAAAGTTAAGAATCATATAAAACAACAATATGGTCAACCCATACCTTATAGTAAATTAACCT